CTTATCACTACCAAGTCACAAGATATTCTTCACCGTAGAGTTTTATGGTTTCTTAGTATAATTAAGACTTCATATTCACACAGAAAGAATTAAGTGTGAATAGAAGATTTATATACTCGAAGAAAACTTTGCTTGAATATTTACATGGTTCAATAAAAAAAAAGAGTTGAAATAAAAAAGTTGAGATTCTTATAAGATTATAGATCGTTACGTATATACGAGTATATAAGTTTTGATTTGACATTTCTGTTTTTTTCCTGCGCATTTAACGTTTTCCGTTTACGGATTGTCGTTCGGCAGCCAGAGCGACAGCACGATTAGAGAACCTCCGGCAGAGAAGCAGAACTCATACATTCCGCGAAACTTGCTAAAAATGACGCGGGTAACGCAAAATCCGATATCTGCTTTCCTATTTACAAAGATAGAAGCATTAATTCGCCCCTTGCGAGCGGTATTAAGGGGTAACGAGCAGCCTGCGCCGGGGAACCATAAGGGGTTGAAGGGGACGGAGGGAGAGATCGAGAGCAAAAGAGAGAGATAGAGGGATAGAGAGTGAGAGAAGGAGAGGGGTAAATTTTCAAACGGGCAACGGGGCCGGGGGGGGATGTTTAGGGTGCTACCCTGACGAACCTGGGCGCGGCATTGGTGCACGCTGCGCGCGGGGTGCACACTCTTGCAGCTCGCAAATACTGGTCGTGGCGCGGCGCGGCGGCCCGAGGGGAGGAGCGGAAGGATACGACGAGGGTGGATGTCAGGGGGATAGGGAGAGAGGTCGGGGGGGTACCGAGGGGGGTAGACGTATCAGATCGATACTCGGCGAAAAGCGCGGGCCGAGCGGAGACGGCGCGCGGCTGTGTGTATCTACGGTTGGTCCATCGCGAGATCCGGATGTTACGACTACGCACAATCTAACGCGGTGGAATATTCGAATCGATGCCGGCTGATATTCTCGCGTCTCCGTGCACGCGCGGAGACGAGAAAAGGGGGGTCTCGGGGCTTTCGTTCCAGCTGCCGCTGTACCGCGCAGCTCAAAATGACACGCGTATATTATTATATGAATCCCAGATAGCACCATGTCCAAAATCGGGACGTAAGACGTCTTTTAGCCATCCTCTTTTTTTTCGTAAGAAGTCTAAAAGATGTCCCGTTTATGGACATGCGGTGCTGTCTGGGATGACTTTACGCGACGAAACTTTATTAAAATCCGCAAGTAGTTCGTTTAGCTCGACTATTATCTCTTTTCCAAGCAGAGATCCCTCTTGCATTCGCTCATTCCAGCGGCGTTTCCGCCGTTAGAGCTCGTCGATTGTCCGTTATTAGTTTTTAATGAGAGATAATCATGGAAAGACACGCTGAGGATGGGAGGAAAAAAAGAGAGCCGCGGACGAGAGCGCGGGGGAGGGAGGAGCGAGAGGGGGCTCTACTACGGAGCTCCGTGCATATAGTAAGCCAACTGTAGTACTATGAGTTAGTCACACCCACAAGCCGGTTGTGGGTTCAAGATCCTCGTACGCTCGTTCTCTCTCTCTTTCTTCCACCAATATACGCACACGTGTAAAAGCATGCGCGTGTAATTGTATACGCTGGCGTATACGCGAGACGTTCCCGCGTACGTATGGAATCTATCGTCTTCGCCCCGGCGCAGTGAGACACTAAACCGCCGATCCTTGGTACTCCTCTCGCTACATTCGCAACTCACGACGTTGATAAATACCTGAGATAACGTGGGAATTTTCGAAGCGTACGGTCGAACGTAATTGCGAAGACTATATACGATCAAAGACGCGTATCCGCACAGCGAGATCTTTATAGATTAATAATTTACAATACGTTTCTATTTTTTTTTATTTTTTACATTTTAAATTAAAACGATTGACACACAAAGAGAGTCCGTCGAGGATGATTTATGGATTTAGAGACACCGACGAAGGTTGATCCCTGGACCGCCTCGATCGCCGGATAAGCGCGGTATTTCAAGGAACAGATCTGCTTTTATTCGGCGAGGAACTCTCTCGGGAACTCTCACGTGCTTGCTCGCGCGAGCTATTATTCCGCCGACAGAGCGGCTCGCTATGCTGTAGACATCAGTGTAGGGTACCCTTACGAGGAATTCTGTGAAAATGATCGATCTACGAGTTGCGTGCTGATCCAAATACGCTCCTCATACGGAATTGTCATTAAAACACGCGTATTGAGACACGGATAAGTCCCATGCTGGGAGGATGAAAGCGATTAAAACATTACGTGCCTGGTTAATATGTAATATAGTTAATGCAAACAAAAATGTAAACAAAAAAATATATATAAATTCTACTAGACAATATTGTATTATAGCTAGGGGACTAGACTCTTTATGGAGCTATAAAAGTACAATTTCGCTTAAGCGATAGAGTGACTTCACGCGGGGCTTCGTTATGACGATGTCGCTTTTACGAAGATGAAACTTTTTCGGGAGGATAATTGGCGGCGGATTGCAGCTTAGCCATATTATTTGGCACGTTCCGGACGATGGTCTTCTAAAGATACCATCCATTTCTTTTCCTTGCAGTCAAGTGAATGGAATTGGATACCGTAAATGCGTACAATACCGTCGGGATGGAGCAGGGATTGTCTGGGGATCCATGGGACTGCCTGTTTGGCAGCGACAGCATCTCCGACGCCTTCCAACAGGGTCGTCCAGAGATGTTTCATATGGGCATACGGCGTTGCGACAACACGAGCCAAATCAGCTGGTTTGGTCCAGGCCTCGGTTTCGATTTCGACGACGTCTTGACGGAGGCCGACGACGATCCGATCTGCTTCAATGACAAAAGCTCGAACAGGTAAGACGAACCCTTTGGAATTTTTTACCTGCAATGATCAAAGAAAAATGTTATTAGTGCCAACAAAAGTTGTCTAACTAAAACTTACTGAAGGAGAGAGAGAGAGAGAAAATACGTTAATATTTTGAAATATTTTACTGAGTCTCGAAGTCGTAAAAGTTAAATTGAAGAAAACCTCATTTACTTAATAAATTTTATAGAAAGTTTAATATTGTTTGTGTTTTATAGCAATCTGGAGGAATTGAATCTGGACAGCGACAGTGAATTGGCTTTGACGCTGGATCCGAATTTGATACTACCGCATAACATGTCTATCTGCCCCGCGACGAACAGCGACGCGGCGATGATGGAGACTGCGAGTGTTGAGGAAAACGCCGAAAATGAGGGAGAAGAGACGGAGAATGAAAGTGAGGTCGAACGAACCGAAAATGATGAAGAAAATGAAAGCGAAGACGAAGAGGAGATCGAGAATGAGGAGAACGAACACAGCGAGACGGAGTACGAGACGGTGGAAGAGGAAACGGAGGAGGAAGAAGAGGAGGAAGACGAGGAGACGGAGGACGACGAGCCGGATACGACTCTTCAACAGCCGCTCACACCCTTGAGCGTGGAGGCGCCGACATCGATGTCATCGTCGTCGGTCAGCATCGGCGCCAGGACGTTAACCGCTTCCACCATCGCTTCCTCGCCGACGATCCAACTGACGAGGTTGCATCACCCCAAGATAAGCACCATATCTGGCACAGTCAAGGTCCAGGACATCAAGCTGCTCGCAGCTAACTCGGGGAATCAGGTTGCGTTGCAACAGATCCGCAAACAGATGTCCTATAACAACAATGTGCACGACGTTAGTACGGGTGCGACGACGACGCTGATGATACAGGCGGCAAAACGCGAGAAGGACTTAACGACGGGGAACCGCGACAATTCTTATCCGAAACCCGCGTACTCGTACTCGTGTCTCATCGCGATGGCACTGAAGAACAGCCGAACGGGATCGCTGCCGGTCTCCGAAATCTATAACTTCATGTGGTAAGTGTTTTTAAAATTGTTACCGCAGAAAACACATCGCAACTTAGATATTTAACATTTGCAAGTTGCTAGACAATTGTGTTAAATCGGTATGTAAATAATTTACGGGAGTGATATAAGAAACAAGAGAGTTTCGCTCTTATTCAATTTTTCAAATGTGAGCTCCAAGTTATGTATTGTTTTAATAAGTTTCTTCTTCTCTGGATGCAAATTACTATTTTTATCGTTCCATAAGATCTAATTGCAACTTTCTTAAAGATATCGCCTCAGAAAAGAACGTATTTTACGAATAAAATAGTTTTGAATAAAATAACATCCGTAATAACTGCAATTCTTTGAATAGCTTCTTAAAATAAATTACTTTTCTCGAATGTTTTTTCTTGAGCTTTTACAAGCTGAAACGTTCGCTGCATTTTTTGCATTAGTACATTATTCATTATAATTGCCAACGAACGTGAGATATTGCCATAAGAAATGATGTTTTTGGGACGAACAGCAAGGAACTTTTTACTTGATGAATAACGTGTCGCCCGTTTGCTTATTTTCGGCTATTTGGCCGGAAGGATAAAGGGTCTGGCAAAGCCCCCCTGCCCCGCGCTTAGGTACACGAGGGGCAAAAGTATTGTCTTTTCCCTCTTTATTCTCGGGTTTTACGGGTCGGAAAGGGAGCTGAGCGAGAAGCTGCCATTTTGTATGGGGCCCCTTGGAACAACCGGGGGCACGCCGGGGTACAGTCCCCCCTAGAAATCGACGCCGGGCCCCGCTCTTCTCGTTTACCACCTGCCTTCATTTCTCGCCGTTGCAACTCACGGCCATGATCGTAAAATAACTGCTCGTCCTTTGCAGTCGTGTTTCATTAGAGTTTCTTCTGCGCCAAACGAGGATGTTAAGACACGTTTAACTTTACGGATTGTCTTGTGTGAAATATTTTTTAAAGTAACAAAAAAAAGCAATTTTTCTTGAAGAAATAAAATTCGCTAAAATTTGACCTGAATAGTATTAGAATTCTGATTGAATTAAACTCGATCGATCTTATCCATTTTATAAATTTAATTATTATTTGCCACATAATTCACTGATATATGACCTAATATACTTAATTCTCTGATTTATTTCTAACGCTAATGAAAAATTCCGATTCGCTTCAAATTTTCATGTCCCATTTTCCCGTTTTTGTTCACGCAGTCGGCACTTTCCCTACTTTACGACCGCGCCGACTGGCTGGAAGAACTCCGTGAGGCACAATCTGTCGCTGAATAAGTGCTTTGAGAAAATAGAGAAGCCGCCCGGCAATGGTAGCCAGCGAAAGGGTTGCCTCTGGGCCATCCATCCGTCGAAGGTGGCCAAGATGGACGAGGAGGTGCGGAAATGGTCGAGGAAGGATCCGACCGCGATCAAGCGGGCAATGGTGAATCCCGACCAGCTAGAGCTCCTCGAGCGGGGCGAGATGAAATACGAGGGGGACAGGCACGAGGAGACGTACGAGGATGCGGAGAGCTACGCCGATTCCGAGACGGGTGGATCCGCGGTGGACGAGCCCATCAACGACGACGAGAACGTCACGTACGACGAGACCAAGCAAGTCGATATCGTCGACGATGAGATCGTCGTGGAGCAGCTCTACGAGGATCTCGATCTCGATACCACCGAGCTGCTTGATACGCGACTAAACGACTTCCCGAGGCAGGAGCGGCCGTTGGTGTACGAGTTCGTCTCGTGCGCGAAACGCCAGAAAACGCTCTCGGGCTCGCCGTTACAGAACGATTACGTTTATCAGCAGGTCAACGCGGCGTCGCCCCGGAAGAAAGCGCATCTTGTCGCGCTACGGGCCGGAGGAACCACGCCGGGTGCCGGATCGCTTCTCGAGCCGGAGTAAACTTATTGGGACAATTTATACGATCTCCTATTTAAATATATATACACGCGGCCAAGTACACATCCCTCCCCTTTTTTTATTGCTCGACAACACTGTAAATAATTGCGTCACGTAACTTTTTTTATAGCCTGAGATTTTGTAAATAATTGTGTTTTATACGACGATGTACCTTTTTTATACAACGCGCTTGTATATATAACTGTAATTTTAAAGTGTACAAAAATATCTGTACATATACAATGTACAAAGGCTATTTTTTTTTTCTTAGAAACCGTAATGTGGGACCAGCCCGTAGGCGTGCGCATAGAAAAGTTTTCAAATATAAGCGGTCATTTCATGTTACACACATTTACGAGAAAAAGAGCCATGATTGAGAAAAAAATTCCGAACCGATTGGATAGGGGACGGCTGTTACACATTACTGAATTACTCTTACGCTCGCCTAACGCATGTCTAACGGCGCCACTACACAATTTTGTAATAAACATTTTTTAACGCTCGTTAATTACTCGATTTATTTTATTTGCAACTCGCGAAAATACCGGATGCGTAGAAATAATAATGCGCCAGCTTCCACGTACCGTCCGCGAATAGGAAATAAATTAACGAACACGAAGCTCACGAATCGTCACTGCCAAGAATGGTCAAAGATAAAAAAATACGAACGTAGCGGATAACGCGTAGATTACAGTAAAGATATACGACACGCGATCTCATACCGATCTTACAAGTTTACGAGGACTGCAACTCATTTAGTGCTATTCCTTCATGCGTGATTATTATGTGAAGTTTTTTTTTTGAGAATGTCTTTTTTATGAAGTCGTCGTATTTAGCCCTTCACCGTTATGATTTTTATGTATTATACATGCCGATGCATGTCGATCGACTGATATTGCTATAATCAACAATAGGAAATCTCTAATTTATTCTAATTTTAATTGGATCGTCAATTTAATGGTATTGTCAATTTTTTTACGCGAACAATTGCGTGATAACTTCCACGGCAGAAAGTTTAAAGGTGCCATTTCACGTTAACGCTCATTTTTAGCGAGCAAAAATCTTCAAATATAAAATATATTTTATTTATATATAATACATAAATTTACTTATATAATATAAATAAGTAAAAAATATTTCTAGGGTCACGTGGTTTCGCTTTCACGCTAGCGTCAAGAAATAAAGTTGAATTTATTCAACATCCACCGTTGACGCTGAATCGTCGTTGATCGTCTCAGTACAATAAAAAATAGACTTCGAAATACGTAAAATATTAATTATTTTCAAATAATATCTTCAAGTAATAATATTTTACGAATATATATATATATATATATATATATATATCTATATATAAAATATTATTCCTCAAGATTTTTGCTCACTGAAGATGAGTGTTGAACCGAGAGAGATCGAGCGTCAACGTGAAAAGGCACCTTAACTGCTGCAGAGCATGAATGAAGTTTTGTTAACAAAACTTCGTGTTTTTTTTCTACATTTGTAAATCTTAAAAATTTCCAGTAGATTCAAAGGATGAATTTATCCTAGATTTCAAGAATTTTATCGTCGAGCTTTCATCCGGCACGGCGTACTTGTACATTATATTTATATATCGTTCGCTGCGTTCGAACGCAATTTCATTCCACGCGAGCAAGACCAAGCTCTAACGCTTACAAGGCATTTAGATAATCGATAAACAAATAGGCGATTGTGAATGTGAGAGAGAGAGAGAGAGAGCGAGAGAGTGATAGCGTATAAGGTAGCGATTAAATTAAAGTAGCGTAGTTTTTGTACCTGTTTGTAATATTTCTATATACCGTTAATGAGTGTGTAAAATATTCGTGTGTAAAATGGCACGAAATTAAAAATGATGTATATGTGCAATGACTGCAATTTTGTAATAAACTACTGATACGCTGTACTTCGCGCCTCGTGTTCGCTGTCGCGTTTCGATCGCGCGCCAATTAACGTCACCCGGTGATCATCGATAAGCCCCACCTTTTTCATCATTTTCTTCTTTTTCTTTTTAATAACGTTTACACGCGTGCAATTGATTCGCGCGATTCGGTAGCGTTAAATATTCCGTGTATCGTTCCCGCTCGACGTTAATGTCACGATTACGGACGGGCCCTCGGAACATCCACCCCACTTACGTAATCCAGCGTGAAAAGAAGAAAAAAAAGAAAAAGGGGGATGGAGAGAGAGAGAGAGAGAGACCGAGGGCTGACAGCCGCATCTGCGTGCACGCGTTTATCGATACGCAACCGTCGTATGCGGACGCGTGTCGTCCGCATGTCCGATTACATACGATCGGCGATAACCAGTTTACGCGCGCACACGCCGCCGCGCCGACGGACGGAGCTCTGTCTATTGAAACGGGCGGCGTACGATTCATATTCGGTTCGCTTCGCGGAGCAAAAGGGAGAGCGAGAGAAAGAGAGGGAGAGGGGGGGAGGGGGAGCGAGAGCGAGAGGGTCTTCCGCCAATGAAACCGGTTTCTCGGTCGAGCCCTGATCACAAAGAACTCGGCCGCGCTCACGCGAGATCGCCGCCGTGCCGGGGCCCTCGATCGCGGCCCCGACTTCGGAGTCCCCGTCGCCCCGGCAATTCTCACCGAGACGATTATTTTCTTCAACGTTATCGTCTCTCGTACCCGGGGGGGGGGGGGGGATCCGTATCGCGGACCCGCTCGTGGTAATTCGTGCTAAATCGTAAATCGGGAAATAAACAAAAGGGAGGGGAAGGCTTGAGGTGTACATCTCTTCCACGAAAGAGCGATTTGTGTGCGAGTCGACCAGTTCCGTTCGGTCGCTCGCACAAAGACGATTCTTCGCGCATACATTCCGAATGCACGGCCGTGCGCGCCCTGCCCCTTTTGCCCTCCTTCTCCCTCGCCGCCACCGCGCGGTATTTATCAGCCGCATCGCCGCGGACGTTTCGTCAGGTGTTTCGAGCACCGGCGAAGCGCGTCCAGGACCGGTTTACGGCCGCGAGGAGCCCCGGGCTGATTATAGTGGCGCCCTTATCAGAAAGGCAAGAAGTAAAATCTTTGACGATTCGCGTTTCCCGAGAATTTTGAAAACTTTGTAAGGATGAGAAATCTTTCGATCGATAAAGAGACTCGGGGACGGTCTCGCGATCTCAATGCGCGTTGAAAGAAAAAAGGATTAAAAAAAAAGAAAATTACGAATCTCGAAGTAGGTTTCTTTGTTTTCAAAAAGCGAGCGAAGAGTTTTTTTATTAGCACCCCTCAACGAAGGTTCTACTTCTACGGCCCTGATCGATACGGCCGATTTCCGCTGATTATCCGTGGACGCGGGACGCTTCGAAAACTCCCACGCTATTTCGCGCCCTTATCGTGTTAGGAGCGCATTGAGCACCGCCGATTAGAACGCGGCAAGCAAGGCCGATAGATACTGTACGTACGCGTGACCTCGTGCCAATGCGTACACAGTCGCACGCGTCCACGCGTTCAAAGAGAGGAAACGAGAGAATAGTATTGAGAGAGAGAGAGAGGGAGGGGGAGAGAGAGAGAAAGAATCTCGAACCCACAACTGGCTTGTGGGTGTGACTGACTCATAGTATTATACTACAGTCGATTTACACACGTTTCGTAGTACGCAGCTTCTCCCTCTTCTTCCTTTCTACTTTCCTATGGAACTTCTTTTCCCTTCTCTTTGTTTCTCTCTCTCTCTCTCTCTTTCTCGTTTTCTCTTTCTTTCTGCTTCTTCGTCTGCGTTTAATCCTTTCTCTTTATCGCGCGGTTTCCAGTCGGGAAACAAGCTAGACCTCGGTCCTCCATGCGCTGTACCGTAAATTCTGCAAATCCGATTTCCAGCCGCCTATTAGAAACTGACTTCCTTGAATTGTTAAAAAATAAATAATCTAACGTTGGTTTCCCGTAACGTCGTCGGTTCTCTCCCGACCCTCCCGCCCGGCTGCGTGTCGCTTTCACGACACGCCATGTGTACACCGAGTCGACAGTCGAGCGATGGCCTGGCATATTACGTATATGTCGACTTATCAGCCGCATCACCGAGGGAAGAAAGAGCGAGTAACTTGAACCTGCATCGTTACCGCGCTCATGGCATCCACGCTGCGCTCGTGCAAGCTACTATATAGTATATATAATCACCTCTGCCAAGCGACATTAAATAAGAATAAAGCAAAAAGATGATCATCTAATCTAATTTTTCTTTTCTATTTTTTCTCCCCATTGGACACGAGTCCAATTTATTCCATATTTAGAAAGCATTTACTTTTTCAATTGACGTAATACGAGTGAAAGCGCATCTTGCGTATTATTTTCGTGTTTTCTTTCCCCAGCCCGATTATCTATTATTTATAGAGCTCCGGCTACGCGTAGTAGAATTCACGTTGAGCGATTCTCTCAAACGCCGGCCCACCCCGACGCAATCGGGAGATAAGTTAATCTCCACTGAATGGGAATTCTTGCGGAGTGAGAAGAAAAGAGAGAAATAGAAGCGGCCCCCAAGAAAAGAGAGTCGGGTCGCCTCTATACGTGGGCAAGAGGGAAAAGAGAAGGAAACGCATACTGGCGCATTATATGCGCTCGGCAGACATCGTAGGCGCGATTCCCTTTCTTCCCTCTCGACTCCTTCGTCCCCCTCTTTCCCCCCTCTGGTCCTACCGAGACTTCGTCTTCAAGTTTCCATCGCGCGCGAGAGAGCGTATATCTTTTAGACACAGAGCCCAACTTGAAAACTGACGAAAATAAAGCGAGGGGGGCTCCCCAAGGTTTTTACTTCGCTCCGCGGCCCCTGTCGCGGGTGAAGGACCAGACGGCCACACATATGCGCGTCTCTTAATGCCGCTCTTGATTATTCCCCCTCTTCACCCCCGTCTACGTTATTATGATCTCTCTCTCTCTCTCTCGCTCTCTCTCTACAGGGTGTCGCGAACGAGCCGCACGCGCGCAATCGCTCTTTCGTTCGTCAAAATTTTTTGGGAGGCGACTCTTCGAGATGACGAAATAAGCGCGGCGGCCCCCGCGCGCGACGGAGGTGAAATCGCTGGTTAGAATTCTTTCAATTTCGACGTCGACCTTCGTCAGGCCACTTCGTTGGGGTCTTTCTCTCCTTCTTTTGAGGTCACTGTGGCAAGAGCACGGCCCTGGCCGATCCACGGCGAGTCTCTCTCTACGGCGAAAACTTGACCGAGGAGGCATGACACAAAGGAACAGCCTTGAAGAAGAATGGCCGCTTACTCGTGTTAAATCGCACGGTATCGGATGGTCGGTTCCACTTCAGCGCGGCGTTTCCCTCGCGAAACGAACATCCAATAAACGCGCTTCATCTAGTATATAAATTATATTCTGCGAAAATTTATTTTGTACACTTATTTAAGAAATATCGAAATTGTTAAGATTATTATACAGTTGCACTAGTTTTGCGAACGTACTGTGCGTATTGTGTGTACAATAAATAATCGCTTGAATATTTATGCATTATGTCTGTGTATACGTTTCGTTAGCATGCTAGCTGCAGTCTTCCTCGTGCCAATGTAAATAGCGAAGGATAATTTACATGAATAAACTTTTTTAAATTACAATGTACGAAGTTCTGACTTTAGAAACCGTTTGTTCGATTACATTCTCTGTTATTTTGCTAATCTTTTGATAGCCGGCAAAGTCATCATGAACTTTTGCTTGCCTTTTTTTAAAGGTTTAAATATTTTCATGCTTTTAACATAAACAATTTTTGGATGTTATAGTGCCATTTGCTCTTATCTGATTATATAGATATATTATCCTAATATTTCGTCGATTTTTGAGAGTTAAAAATTTTGTCAACAATCAACAGCTCGCGCCAAAAATTATTATTGTCGGTAAAAGTGCGCGCTGACTTTACCGACCGTCCATAAAGTCACCGCGGATTTTACCGACCTTGGTAACTGCACCGATGACACGTGTTCAATCTAAATAATTGTTGACAAAATTTTCAATTCTCAAAGATGACAAAGGGGAATATAATCAGATAGGAGGTGGCACTAATTAATGTTTCAAAAACTGTTAATGTTAAAAACCCGAAAATTTAAACCTTTAAAAAGGCAAAGCATTCGTTTTTCGCGGCTGTACATACTTCTTGCACGTTTTCTCTTTTTCCTTTCAACGTTTAATTACATATATTTATTTCATTTGAAATGTACAAAAAAAATATAACATCTATAGCGTAGCTGCAAAACAATATAGATTTTTATTAGATTAGTTCATGATTAATTGATGCTGTCACATTTTGATTGGTTAGGATTCTGGATACAGCTGCAGATTACTCCAATCGACTACGCGCGCACCCGGCACCTCAAAATACGTGTGTTTATGTAATTTTAACCTTTACATCTCAACATCTTATCTTTCGTTCCACGCCGCGAAGGCCGTGAAGTAGGGTCGTAAATCGCAGGGTGCTCGGCGATAGAAATTTGCTGAGAATATCTGGAGATATCTCGTTAACATATTAAAATGGAGACACTTTTGAATTTTTGGGAGAGACATATCCTCGAGACAATTTTATGCATGATATGGCTGTTAAGCTTTTGGTATTATTATTTGAACTTCCGCCAGGTAGGTCTACCTTTCCTAACCTGTAATCATATTTTTCCACTTTATCACGATAGAAGAATACTTAGAATGCTATGTCATTTCTAAAATTAGCAACATTTAATATATACTATTTTTATGTTCAGTCAAATCTCTATATATTTGCATATTTATTTTTATTTTGTTTGAATCATATTTTTTTCAATTTTTGCCTCTTTTAGGAAAGATTAAAAGATAAAGTGGCAACGTAAAAGAATGAATTGATGATAATTAAATTAACATTTTAGATTTATGTATATTATGAATGTGTGTGTTACAGAGAGCTCTGCTGAAACGTATGGTTGATGTACCAAAAGCGGTTGAGGATTTAATGACTAAAGATATATACGACAAGGCTCGTGCATACGCATTGCACAGAAATACCTTCAGTACTTTTCAGGATGTATATTCGAAGATCTATAGTACAGTGAGTGTCATAAAACGCTTCTGCGTATTCTATATGCCATCGATGAAAACGGAAGGCAATTTTTTTTAGGTATTCACGCAGATTTGCGTTATATAACAGTATTTTTACAGTTAACCCTGACGACTTTTGCCTATCACTATTTCTGGCAATGCAGCATTCAAATAGCCAAGTACTATGGTTTTAATCATGAGAACGAGATACTGATAAGTGCGATATGCATGGTTTTTATAAGCGTATTTTCGTACATAGCCAATCTGCCGATAGACATATATGACACTTTTGTTTTGGAGGAGAAACATGGCTTTAATAAACAAGTAAGATTCTCTATATAATATATTTTGCAATTATAGAGACCTTTTTTTTTATATACTTATATATTTAATTGTTGAATATAAGAGTTGATTAAAAGAATATTGCTGAGCCAGAGGTAATCTTTTTTTCGCCAGTAATAATTAACAAAGGAGATGGTTTAATTTGATCCAATTGGCCATTTGTCGATACAATGCACAACGTTTCGATCGTGGTTTGTGGTTCTTGTCAAGTGTAAACTAAGTTATAGATTTACAATGAGGCTGTTGTACGAAACATCCTCATTATAAATCTATAACTTAGTTTACACTTGATAAGAACCATGGTCGAAACGTCGTGTATTTGAATATTATATTAATAAATGACCAGTGTGTGTTGGGTCGAATTAAACGATGGATGGTTTACCATCTCCTTTAAGAATATCGCTAATTAACGAATGTCAATACTTATTTGCAGACAGCTATGTTTTTTATTAAGGACGAAATCAAAAGATTCCTTGTGGGTCAAATTATCTCTTTACCTCTTCTGTGTGGCATGATTTGGATTGTGCAAAATGGTGGCGATTATTTCTTCTGGTACTTGTGGCTGTTATCCGTAGTGGTCTCGTTATTCTTGATGATTCTGTATCCAGAAGTAATCGCGCCATTATTTGACAAATATTCACCATTACCTGACGGCGAATTGAAGCAAAAAATTGAAGAATTGGCAGCTTCCTTGAAATTTCCTTTGTACAAGCTGTTCGTGGTTGAAGGCTCCAAGAGATCGTCACATAGCAATGCCTATCTGTATGGTTTTTACAAATACAAAAGGATAGTTCTTTTTGATACACTCATCAAGGAATATTGTAAGAAAGACAGCAACGAAACCGATAAAGAGTGTGGTTGTGAAACAGATGAAATACTGGCGGTACTCGCGCACGAGTTGGGTCATTGGAAACATAATCATGCTGTGAAAGGATATCTGCTGTGCCAGGTATAACTTTAAAATTAATTCATATTTTATGTATTATGTCAAGGAGTTAATCTTACAGTATTGATAATAATATTTCATTATTTTCTAAGGAAAAATTGGCTCATTACAGAATCGCTTAATATATTTAATAAAATAATTTTAATATATTTAACAAAATAAAATATGTTATATATGACCTGAGCAATTCTTTACAGTTTTCTTTGTATTTTTAATAATAAGTATATATATTTTTCAGATAATAATTGTAGCCAATTTCGTCATGTTTGCCAAACTCTTGCGATACACACCAATGTATAGCGCCTTTGGCTTTGTGGACACTCAGCCCATCATGATTGGCCTATATATAGTATCAGCGTATATTTTAATGCCACTGAATACGGTAAGAAATTATTACATTTTTCTTTATGATTTTTATATTGTGTATTAAACAAGAGATTACGCAAATTCTTTTATTATTTTCAGGTGTTTAATTTTGTCAGCGTGGTGATTAGCCGAAGATATGAATTTCAAGCAGACAGATTTGCCACGAAATTAGGCCACGGCGAGCCTTTAAAGGCAGCTCTAGTAAAATTACAGAAGGACAATTTGAGCTTTCCCATATACGATAAATTGTACTCCTGTTGGAATCATTCACATCCGCCTATGCTTGAACGATTAGAAGCGATAGATAAAACTAATTAAGGAACGAGTTTTTCATTGTATGCGATTTTTATAACTTGTTTCTCGACATAAAAAATGAAGCCTGGAGCGGCACAGCGATACAGGCATTAGTTGTTGTTTGCGTTATTTTATACGTTTTTTTTTCTTTTAATTATTCCACTATCTAGTTGAGCGAACCTAAATACGAGTCCGAGACAATTATGCTTCCTGTTTATTGTCATAATGTCAATGTGATTCTGGTCTTATTATAATATCCATCTTTTTACAATCCACTCCAATTGAATAGGAACTTTTAATAGAGCTTTACTATCATACGATGTTTTTATATATAATATATACACATATATATTAATATACTCCAGCATTTAATATTTACATATGTAAACATTTTTCCAGTATCATTAATGTCGTGAAAAATGACCACAATATTTTGTATTTTCTTAATGTTTGTAGGGGTTTATCTTACATTTAAATATTTCGAGTATACTTCATTTTTCGAGGACATAGACTAGATTGTTATATTTGTACATATCCATCAGATCTTGCGCTTTACTATTCAATATATCGTTATTTATCATTCCTAGATGAAGATTCTAAATGCCATTAAGTAAAAGTTCAATTAACTTTAGGATACGATAAACAAAATGTAAGTTGATATTCCATTCAACATTGTTTTTACAATACTGGGAATCTGTAAAAATATATCACGTTTGTGAACAATCCACATATTTATTCTCGTGTTAATAGACATAGTTCTTTTTTATAACGACTGCTAAGATGCGTGAAAACGTACTTAAAAATTTTCATGATCCAATTATTCACAGTATGACAATGTCAAGGAAGATAATATACCTGTCTCTTCTAGTGAGCACTCTTACTATTCAATTATACATACAACTTATATATAAGTGTATCCAATATATTCCATTATATATGCACTTTACGTATAAGTTTCAATCTAATTATCTGTACGTTAACGACCGAGTGATAAAGGCTGCATTAATGTTATAAACATTTTTTCATTCTTCCATTTGGCCTTTAATGACTCAAGATAAAAATAGAGAATGATATGTATACGTGTGTATGTATGTGTGTGCATTCATTTTTGTATAATGTTAGTTATAATAACTTAAGATTCTTCTAAAATGCTTACTATAAATCGCGGTTATAGCTTGCTTGTAATGTACATGTATGTTTACTTGTGTAATGTGTGTATTATATTCAATATATTACATAAACTTCAGATTTTAACTTTATTATCTCATTCTGAAAATTATACACCGAAAAGTAATTTCACTAAGCTATTGACGATTCAACATTTTTTTGTAAAAGCGCTTTTTGACCAAAAACATTTATCTCATCTAATCATGACACAAATCCGCTTTGTTACTTTTGATGAGATTAAATGGTAAATTTGAAATTAATGACTAAAAGTTATCTGTGCTATGCTGTATCAACTTGTGAAGGAAGATTCACTGAAATTGAACTTGAATGTATTTCTAATATATTTTATCGTATGCCGTTTTGCTTGTGGTTGTGATCTGTAGGTATCCGTATATTTTACGATCTGGAGCAAATAGTCAAGTAATCGCCAACATAAAAAATTTGGAAGAGTTTGAAAAATACTTAGGCGTATGTGTTGATCTCTCTTATTTATTTTCTATGCAATTATCATTACAAAAGTTATCTAATCTATTAATACTTACCTATCATAGGTGCAGTTTCATATTGCCTGTATGTAACATTAAATCATACAGGATGATTCCGCACAAAAAGGTGGAATACATAAATGAATATTTAACATTATAATTTTACAACATTAGGGCTCTCTAAATCAAACTCTTATTAGAGAAAAGTTACAATTTATCAAAGAGTACTTTGTTTTTTGGTTTTCGTGATCACAAAAACAAAGTACCCTTTGAAATTTGAGTTACTCGGTGATTAATATCCTGTTTAAAATCCTTTTTCTATGAATACTATCGTATTCAATTAAATAATATTAAAATGAGTAATATTTCCTAGATACCTGAATATCAATAACGCTAATAGGATATTAAATATTAATAAAGTAAATATTGAAATTTTATATAATATATATGGCAAAACACAATCTTGCGATTATTTTATGATCAATCAATCCACTGACTTCATTGAATAAAAAATATAAAGAATCGTAACTAAATAAAATTTGTTTAAACTATTAATTCTCAAGTTATTAATCAATGCTTAATTATTTTATAATTATGTGCAAATTAGTTACTTAATAAATCAAATTAATTATATCAGAGCATAAAAATTGAAAGACATAGAAGATTAACTTGTTACGAAATATGATTTTATCAATGATGACAAAATTGAATTTTTGTTTATTAGTTTTGCAATTTATGGTATTCTGTACGTATATAAATTTAACAAATAATTTTCAAACATAGTTGAATAGTATGTACACAACTTTTTTGAAAACGTATTATATATAACATGCTCATAGTGCAATAGCAATACATTTAAGAAGTAATTTCATGTTTTCTTTGAAATAAAAAAGAAATTTAAAATATTTTATAAAATAATCTTATAAAATAAAATATTTTATATATAGAATATATTTAAAATGGTGCAAGTAAAAAAGGATGATTCCTCGTGCAAAAATAAGATAAAAATATAAGATAAAATCTTTTTATACATCTCGTTTCTGAGAAAAATAAGCTTGAAAATCGAGAAATTAATCTATATGTACAATATTACAGATATTGTTCAAAAACCAGTATGTATAATAATTCTTTATTATCTTAAAAAGATATAAGTAAGAATAAAGAGATCAACTAAATTGACAAACTAAAAAAAAAAAAAAAAA